GGGGGGGGGGGGGGGGGGGGGGGGGGGGGGGGGGGGGGGGGGGGGGGGGGGGGAGGATGCCTCGCGTAACTCCCTCGTTCAAGAAACAAAGACGTTATTGTCAGTTATTATGCCTGTCGTGGAAATGCCGCGCCTAAAATATGTAGACTACAATTCGACTGAGTTCATATCTCGAACGGGTAGTCCTGCTGTGAGGTTATGTTTACTTTCTAAAAATAGACTTCAAGTAGCCTCCGCCACTCGCTCGGGCAGAAAGAAAATACATCTAGAACACAAGACACGACGACGGTTAGTTCAGACGCAGATGCAGTGAGCTGAATATCGTTCGTTCATCGTTCTCTCGCGCCCATCCTGGGGCTAGAGGTTTCACAGCCACTGATGGTTTCGGTAAGGGCATGTCCCAGTCCTAGGCTCTTGTCGCTTGTGTTGGCAAAAGGGTGTACTTCCCATTTGTGGGCGAAGTCGAGTCTGTTGGAACGTGTCGTGGGCGTTTTTTTCAAGTTTTGGACGTACGTCTGGCTTTGATAGTGCGTATACTCTTGCACGCAGCCACCCACGCTTTTGACACGAATAGAACGAAGCGACGAGAAGAGTCGGTCTGCTCCGACTTGTGACGAGCGGCAGACCCTTTCAGGGGTATTTAAGATGGGCATGGAAGGGCAAAAAACAAAAACTATCACAACAGCTTTTACACAATTTTGTGTTGTGGGTTGTTGCTGTTGTTGTTGTTTCTCACATTAGCTCTAAAAAAGAAAGATTGGGAGCCCGTGGTCTCAAAACCCGGCATACACGACCCCACGAAGAAACAGAAAAAAATAGGGTACAAAAACCACTCGGAAGAGAAACAAAATGATAGAAAGAAAGACCAGCTACCGCACCAAACGAGAAAGAGCGTCGAGGAGACCGATCAAAATAAAATAAAAGGAGAATGGGTGTGGGTGTCTTGAGCTGAATGAACACGGTCTCACGCAGCAAACCCGAGTGAAGAGGAGTGGGCTGGTCGTTGGAGCAGCCAGCCGAACATATTGCTCGGCGAAACACACACCCATGTTCACAACTGGCCTAGTATCAGCCGCGGTGTACTGTGCCGGCCACCACCCATTGGCGCGTACTTAAAGGTATGCTCGAACACAGTTATGATGGCACATGGCACCAAGAACTGCGGGCACCTAGTCTCTCCCCCTCGACCCGTTCATCTCTCGGTGTCGAGCGTGGAGTTGGCGAGAGTAACATCAAGAGTCTGAAACACAACCGAGCGAGTTGCTCAGTTCCCCATCCGCACGAGAATCAGCATTTTTCTTGCAAAAAGACACACTCCCGACACACCCACCGGATTTTTTTAGGGTCTTACGATCAGCTGTTTTTTTTGCCTCAACTGCCTGTATTTCCTTACCTGTTCATGACCCAGCACGTTTTCACGTCAACATCCCGACAATGCGCGCCCGGGCCCGACTGCAATTTCTTTCTCCCCGCACTACTTTAGCGCCAAATCCTCTCTCGTCAACATTACCGGCGCGAAGAACAAAGACCTCGGTCATTTGTTACCCCACCCACCCCCCGCTCCCGGCAAAACTTAGACCCTCACGACTACCCTTCCTCAGACCCTGCACACTAAAGTGACCCCACTCCAAACTCTCCTCAATGTTCCAGCTATTTGCGAACAAAGATACACACGAAACACAACCCGAACGCTTTCTACGTGTTTTTAAAGTTTTCAGCATTTTTCTGCAAGAAACGAGGCGGGGGAAGTTTTCCATTCTTGTAATAATGTCGTATTTTCGGTCCAAGACCAGGCAACCGGAGCAACGAAACAAAAGATAAAAAAGACGGCGACATGAACAAACAAACCTGAAAGAAAACGCCACACACCGGGATTGATTCGTAGCCCACTCGTCTGCGTCAAGACTGCAAACGATCACCACGCTTGACACTCCGATCTTACCCCCCCCACACACACAACACAACGACTCTACCAAGTTCCATCTTCTCTCTCCTTCGGCACCACCTTTTGCAGTGGCTTGCTGCATCCCAGAGTAGTCAGCAAACACGTTCGCCTACCGGCCATGCAAATCTCTTCTCCACTCGCGCACGGAAAAACCGGACGTACTTCCACCACAACTCGGATCCCTTCTTCTTTTCTTTTCCGAGGGGGCCTTTCTTCTCCCCCCTTCCCTCTTCTGCGTTGCCAAACATGAATCCGACCGTCGCCGCTCGTATGTAGAAACAAGAAGAAACAAGACACCTCCCAAATGCTATTACTGCAACCACTATCGACTAGAACTTCAGAACTTCAAGAGTCTAGATGAAGAAGCCAAGAGATTAGAGAGCCAGACAAGACGGGCAAGCCCGGCAGACAACCGCTCCGCTTCCTCCTTCAGCAAAAACCAAAACATCCACTGTATTATATGATACATGTCGAATTAAGTAGTATCATTTTCACCATCCTCTCCCCCCACCCCCCACCCCACCTCTGTGTCGTATCCCTGCTCTTCCCTCGCCGTCACAAGGACAAGTTTCCCGTCTAAAGCGAGGGCGTCGCAAATAAAAAAAAAAAGTCATGTCAAAGAGGCCTGTAGAGATTGATCGAAATTCAACCAACCATGCAGAAAAAAAGTCCTGCCCCCCTCTGTAGTCTTCAATTGTCCCGCCACGCCTTCGGCAACCTCGTCCCACCGTAGCTTTACTTGACGGCGCTCTTCTCTTCCTCCCATGCCCAGAGGCGCGCGCAGCGAGCACTACACCGTGTCTCCCACTCTCTCATGTTTCTCTAAAATATACTTTAGTACTCCTCCCTCTTCCTGTCACCCCTGTCGCCCCGGGGACGCCTTCCACCATAGCGGCGGTTGCGGCCCCCGCCGCCGTACTCGCTCCTGAGGGTGTAGAGGAAGATGGTAGGTACAAAGCGGCATGCGTGCGGAGCATGGGGTGAGGGGTCAACAGCAAGCCCAACGGGGTTGGGTGCACTCGCTGGTTTAGGGTGTTGACGTCATTCGTTGGTGCCAAATGGAGAAAACGGCATGCGTGGGGAGTAGGGGGGTCGGGGTACTCATGCCAAAAACATCGGGGGCGGAGGCGGGTACCCAGCAAGCCCAACAGCTTGTCATGCGCGTCAAACGTGGTCACAGTTCCCACCCGGTCAATCTTTGACCCAGCCACACAGGGAGAGGGAAAGGGGACAATGAAACGGGACTGCGGAAAAGCCCGAGACATACATGACTCCACAAAAAAGGGAACAGACGTGATACAACCTTCCATGGGTGAGTTCGCTACCACAACCGTGCGAGGACGAACAACGCAGAGAAATCCTTGCCGCGTGCGTCTTAGTCTTGCCGCCAACAGATCCGCCGAAACTGCGCGATGGAGTACGAAGGACCATGACCCTCCGCCGCAGGTAACGTCACGATGTACACACACGGGGATGCAGTACACACCTCGGGGTGGGGGTGCTCTTCCTTGCCTCCACGGTGCAGGGCACACCGCCGAGCTCAAGGCTCTCGCTGCCGGCGATCGCCGGCTCTACCATTTCCGGAGCCACGTACTCCACGAACGCCCAGGTGCGGATGTCCTCGCCGATGTGCTTGACGCGCAGGATTACCGAGGTGATGTCCCCGTACTGAGAGAACTACTCCAGGGGGAAAACGGAGGGGGTTCAGAGATGAGTTGTGTTAGGGTTTGGGTCCAGTGTCTCAAGAGGGCGCGACTTCGCAAAAAAACGACCAAAAAACACAATGGGGGATGGGGCGGGGCTGGCAGTTGAGAATTCGTTTGCTCGTGGCTAGGAGCGTCGGTATTTTCACGCAAGACACGGGTACAGCGTAGCTGGCTTTATAGCCGCCCGTCTCTCCCGCAACGCCCGCGCAATGACGCAGTGGACGAAAGAGAGACGCACAGAAATTAGAATCGGCAAAGCTTGCGGCAAGACGGAGGAAGCAAGGTTTACCGAAAAATCTTCCCGGCGATCGACCTGAGGGCACGCGTTCCGATAAAAAGAAGGCGGACGGGGGAGGGGATGAAGAAGAACAAGACTTCGATGTGACCCTGGCTTTGTGAAGCAGGGTGAGAGGGACTCTTGTTGGGCGCAGAGGTAGCTTGTGTTTTTCAATGTTTCGTTGTCCGCCCAATGCATTGACGATGTCTGCGAGCAGACCTTCCGACGGCTCCAGGCGTAATAGCCGAAGACAACTCCTTCGACGGCGTTTTTGTATCGAAAGGGTAGATTTGCAGCGGCAAGACGCCCAAGTGTCGAGAAAACCCAGGAGGACGCGCGCAACACAAGAGAGTCGATCAGTCATCTGCAGGATGCAGGCAGCGACCAAAAACAACTCACAAGGCGCGCAGCCGCCGCGCATGCCCGAACAAAGAACGACCCGAACCAAAATAAAACAGGCGACAACAACGCGTCAGGAACGACCCAAACCCAACAAAAACAAAAAGGCGTCAATAACCCAAAAACCTCACGCACCTCAGCGCGGATGTCGTCCTCTGTCGTGGTATCCGGGAAGCCCTTAATGTACACCGAGTTCTCTGCCACGGGAGGCACGCGGCGGCCGCGGCCCTCGCCCGCTGCCTCTTCATTCTCGCCGCCGCCGTACTCTCCTCCCTCTCCGCCACCGCCGCCGCCGCGGCGACCCCGGTTACGGGTGCGGCCGCCGCCATTGGCCTCGCCGCCCCCCTCGTTCTGTTTGCGGGGGGCGCGGACGCGGGCGACGGATGTCCTCTCCTCCAGCTCCAGCTGTTTTAATGAGAGGTTACATAGGGGGACGAGAAGGGAGGTTTAGGCTTTCTCGTTCGCGCGAGAAATGAACAGAAAAGCAGGACGATTTGGCCATGGTAGACTAAAGACAGCGTGTGAACGACAAGACACTAACTAACCCGCACAAGAAGAATCAAACATCAAACAGGAAGACCTTCACCAATCGCGTGGCCCTGAGAAACAACCGGAGTTCCGATAGATGTACACAGGCACGCCACTTGAACAAAAACGATCATCGTTAACGAGTCCCAAAACTCCTGGCAAAACGAAGCTGGACACCATCACCTGCATCCACATCCATCGAGTGATGGAAAAATGCATCTACATAGATCGCAATCCCATCCATTGTGGCCCGCGACAGAATCAGTTAAGAAACGAGTGCGCGAGACGCACGAAACGCTACACACACGGGACAAGACATACATTGTCGACACAAACTTCGAACCATCGGGCGCACAAAGAAGCCGCCGCCGTTCAAACCCGTAGGAATGGTGCTAACAATAAGAGAACAAGACGCGGAGCAACAGGAGAGAAAGAAAGGGGAGAGAAGGCTGCCTACCACAAGACTGCCACGAGGAGGTAGGGCATAAGGCCACCCGCCATCAACACCGTCACGAATAAATATAGAACACATCGCGCGAGGTATGTAACATATACACGGGGACAAAACAAAACACGCGGGTTGGTGTGTCGGCCCGTCTCATCTCACCGTCTGGTCGTCGAGGGTGAAAGGACCCGAGGCCATGATCTCCTGCACGTGCGTACTGTCGCCGAACTCCACAAAGGCGTACCGGCTGCCGTCCTGCCGCTGGCGAAGGTCGACCCTGGGGTTTGGGCAAAGCGGCAACGTGACAGATGGGGGGGGGGGGGGGG